AAGAGTGTGTACCTTGTCTTCTACCCCGTATGAGGTACTAACAACTGAGTGCATCTAGCTGATCGCGAACATGCTGATGATCCGAAATTTCGCAAATTTCGTCGTCAGCTATTTCACACCTCGCTGTACACCATTCTAGAGTCCCTCAAGCCAGGGATGACTACTCCAGAGGTGGTGCGCTATGCTGATGGTCATTACCGTCGCACAGTCTATGGTTTGGGGCCCTATATTGCAGACTATCCTGAGCAAGCTCTCTTAGCTTGCATAGTTCAAGGATGGTGTCCTAGGTGAGTCATCTATGGCTTGTGAGTTGTCTTGTTGTTGACTATGGGTTAGATGTGATGCACATAGAGATGACCTTGATGGAGAGGGTATCCAGCGTAGTCACTCTGTGACTGATCCACTGCTGGATGCCTTAAGCCTAAGGGTTCTCTGGGATGAATATGGTATAGTGGGAGATCTGCTGGTGGGCTATGTCTTATATGAAGGTGGATGTATGAGACTGACTTGTTCAAAGCCCTTTACAGTGGCTTTTCCTAGAGCAGACATCCATGAGATGCTTTCACCTGACCTTTTGCACCAAGTCATCAAAGGGACCTTTAAGGACCACTTGGTTGCTTGGGTTGAGGAGTATCTTGTGCTCACACATGGCAAGGCTCAAGCTGCTATCATCTTGGCAGATATTGACCGCCGGTATGTGTTCCATACTAGCCTCATGTCTATTTAGTGTTGGTGCTAACATACTTCTGTAGTATTGCTGCTGTGCCTCACTTTCCTGGTCTACGTCGCTTCCCTGAAGTGCGGGGCTTCAAGCAATGGACAGGAGATGATTCTAAGGCCCTTATGAAGGTAAGCACTGTCTTACATCATGGTCAGACCCACTCTGAAACCCTCATAGGTCTACATTCCTGCCATCAAGGGATATGTGCCTCCACAGATGGTGCAAGCTCTTAGCGCCTTTCTGGAATTCTGTTACCTGGTGCGACGTGATACTATTACCACTCGCACTATGGCACAGATTGAAGATGCACTTGCGCGATTTCATCGCCATCGAGTCATCTTTGAGGAGGTGGGAGTTCGTCTGGATGGCTTCTCATTGCCGCGCCAGCACTCTCTTAAGCACTATCCTAAACTCATCCAGATGTTTGGAGCCCCCAATGGTCTGTGCTCCTCTATAACAGAGTCTAAGCACATCAAGGCGGTGAAGGAGCCATATCGGCGCTCAAACCGCTTTGAAGCCTTGGGTCAGATGCTGCTTACCAATCAGCGTCTGGACAAGCTTGCTGCTGCACGTGTGGACTTCACTGCACGTGGTATGCTTCGTGGTTCCTATCATCCAATGCCTGCAATTCCTGAAGAGGATATTTGGGCTGGCCTTGGCTTTGATAGACCTCATAATGGGGATATTGAAGAGATGGCTGAGCAACAGGCTGCTCTGGATGAGGATGATGATGGTGGTCCAGTGGATGAAGATGTTATAGGCAAGGTTGTACTGGCTAAGCGAAAGTGTGAGTGCTGTTCTATAGTTTAAGCTATAACATGCTCACATCAACCTTATAGCAAGGGGCTACCCTAGAGACTGCTATGAACTTGCAGCTCATATTGAGGTGCCTTCTCTTCCAGAGCTAGTTCGTCGTTTCCTCTATGTTCAACAGCATGATGGCCCTGTTGAACTTGGAGAGAACATTGACCTTGCACTCTGTCCACCTGCTCCTCGCCAGATCTCTGTGTTTCCTTCAGCTGTTGCCTACTTCTATGCACCCAGCGATGTATGTGGTGTTAGAGGCATGCGCAAGGAGCGCATTAGATCTGTGCCTTCATGGCGTGGAGGTCCTGCCCGCCGGGACTGTGTCTTCATTTTGGATGATGACACTCAGCCTGGCTTTCTTGGGTTGCTTGCAGCTCGTGTTCTTCTTCTGTTTTCTTTCAAGGACATAGATGGTGTGGAGTATTCTTGTGCTCTTGTCTCCTGGTTTCTGCCTACTTCTGATCATCCATGTGAAGAGACAGGGATGTGGATAGTGGAACCTCAGGTGGATGAGTTTGGACATCAGACTGTGTCTGTTGTCCATCTTGACTGCATTCTACGGGCTGCACACCTTATTGGTGTTGCTGGTAAAGATCCTATTCCCACTAGGCTAAAACATACTGATAGTTTAGATGCATTTACTGCCTTCTATGTAAATAAGTATGCTGACCATCATGCACATGAAATTGCCTTCTAATATATCATTGAACTCAAGTCCTCTAAATTGTTGAATGCTAAGACCACGGACTTGAGCTTATGATCTTATACTTGGCTCTAAGATTATGGACTTGGAGCCAAGACCGTGGACTTGGGGCCAAGACCGTGGACTTGGGGCCAAGACCACGGACTTGGGGCCAA